TGTTAGTTACTGGAAAAACTTGATTCCAGTTACTACTGTACTTTTCTGTATTGCTGAAAGCCCAAGTTACTGCATCTAACCTGGTCATGTTTAATGTTTGATAAAGTTTGTAAATCACTTGTGTGCAGTATGTGAAGTGTTTACATATACATACATCTGGACTTTGATTATTACACTACAGGGGTATATTCCAGATATTGTATACATATGTATACCAGTTATTATGACATAGGTACTGTACATGTTTGTCATTATCAGTGTAGTTTATGTTTTATTACAGTCAGTGCACATGGATTTATATTTATGTACATGGAAAAAGCCACAAATCTGCCTTACAAGATATTACACTGTTGTGTTACGTGGTGTCACTTTTATGCAGTGGCAAAAAGTAACACATGGAGTCATGCAGAGTATTTCTGCACTGTAGTACTGCTACTTTTACATAAGTAAAATCCTTGAGTACTTCTTCCAACAGTTATTTTATGTCACAACAATTTCAGTTAAATTTCAAAGAGGATCTGATCATTACAACTAAGAAACCCTTTTCAAATTGGGATGTAGCCGGTGTAAATCCAGTTATAAAGTTGTACAAGACTCCACCACACTTACTTACTAGTGTCATTACCCAGAGGCAACGGGGTCTCTAGAGGCAGCTGGGGCATTATCTGTGGCTCTGCTATGATCACTGAGTGGGACCTTTTTTTGGACGGTCCATCTTTTTCCATGTCAGATTTCCTGCTTGCATCCGTTATGTGCAGATGATCTGAAAAGAACAGCAGACATGCATCTTGTTAAGCACAGACTAACCTCCTAGGGGGCTGTGGGGGGGGGAAGTTATGTTCCCCTGCTGATCTCTAATATACAGTATATACATGACAGGTTCCTAATTTTCTGCAGGCACCCATAAACCAACAGTGCTCTAAAGCTGAAATGACTAGTTGATTAATAGATTACTGAAATGGTAGAAAATTAATTGGCAACAATTTTGATAACTGATTAATTATTTGTCTTTCTTTAAGCAAAAAGTTCAGATACCAGATAACAGGTTCCTGGATGAGACTATTAGCTAGCCTATTTTTATGATGTGCTTTTGACTAGTGCTCAGACAAAACAATACATGTTAATATGTTTACTTGGGCTTCAGGAAGAAATGATGAGTGTTTTTCACTATATTTTGATGAATATTCAGATGTACTTATACTGTTACTTCTGTACCACCTAGTCTGAGGGTTTATGGTGTTAATTACTTGGCATGCAGAAAAAATTAAAGCCGGCTGATAACTAAACACAATTTTACAATAAACAAGCAACACATACAAACTAAAACAATGGAGGTCATAATACTTGAGTCACACACTGAAGTCTGAATGAGAAGGTGGAGGATGAAGAGTCACCGGGGTTGGATATTGTACTTCAGTGGTGCAAATTTGTATCAGATTTGTGATTAATCAAATTATGTAGACTCAAATGATGTAGAGTAAACATAGGCTTCTGGTTGGTAAAACTGGTCATTAACTGCTGTTTTCTTAAAAAGCACCAGACACTTAGAGTGACACTTCCTGGACTCATACCCACCTGGTGGGATATGGTGCAGCCCAAAGGTCTCAGTGACCGTGGGCCTGTGAACAGGGAGGTCATTGTTGGGCTTGGGAAGGAGACCAATATCCTCCATTGCTGCAATGGCTAAAGCATAAGAAACATGTTGTTGGAGCTTTGTACATCAAGCAAAGCTTTACAGAATGCAGACCCACTCATCCTGTTCATTATTTAAGTAGGCTATAGTGGGTTTTTGGTCTGATCTCGAGATGGTGAAAAGGCAGTGAGGCTGACATTTTTTCTTTTCTTTTTTCACAAGTAGAATAAAGGTGTTGCAAATCTGAAACTGTTAGTCTTTACACTTATGCTGGTAATCTGGTCCAGATTTTACAGATCTAAATATAGTGGTATTTAATCTGGACTTGATATCATTTGAATGGACAAAATAAGTGAAACTGAATTTTTTTTGCTTCATTAATAAATAAATATAGGCTAATAACCTTTGCACAAATCTGAATCTGAGTTTGAAACAGTCTTTAGGCCCTTAAACAAATCTACAAACACGCTTCATGCCTTTTTGTAAGGGACAACAAAGTCACGTGTCTAAATCCAGATGTTAGCTACGTTGAAGTAGGCGTTGCAGGGCCTGGCATTCATCGAAAAGGTAGGCGAAGCCTGCTGCTGTTGCTCACAAACGATATTTGACGCTAATTCCTGGCAACTCGTCATGCAAGCGAAAACGCGTTACAACAAACCCTGTAAAATGGCACGAATTTGAGGTGTTTGCTTACATAGTGTTATACATTTGAAAACGTCTCGTAGACCCGTCGGTTCCATCCGAATCACATCACAGGTTTCCCAGCTGCCGACTGCTTAGTCCATCACGGCTTAGAGCCAACATCTGTCATCTCAGGTTTTACCTCTGGTTTTACTTATGATAAATATCTTAAGTGTCAGCTCTGGGGAGACGCTCGCTACCGGCTGCAAAGCCTGAGCATGCGCACTAGATTCCAAGAATGAAAAAAGAATCATTGCACTGATATGAGAATAATGTTTGTTATTTAAGTACAACGATTATTTCTGAAATGTTGTGGATTCTAAGTATAAAATAGGATAAATGGAAATTAACCAGTAAAGTACAACCACCTCAAAATTGAAACCTCCCAAGATGTTTCAGTTTCGATTTGACTTAAGGTAAGGCAGTTTATAGCTTTGCTCATCCTGATCTTATCAAGAAGGAAACCACCAGGGAGTTCAACGTTTTTGTTGCTGTTTCAGCCTCACATTTGTCTTGACCAGCTGCAACCAAGCAAGGTTGGCATCTGGCTCATGTGATTGTTTTCACTGTCAGTGGATGTGTTGATGATTTAATGCCAGGAATACCAAAAAAAAAAAAAAAATTCAAATGATGATTTCCCACAGTCGAAGGTACCACTGTCAAATGTCTTGTCTCGTATGACCAGTCCCAAACCCAGTGATACTATATTTATAACGAAAGAAGAGCAACAAATCCTTACATTTGAGAAACTGAAAGTAGGAAGTAACTTATTACTGATTTTACACCAGCTTGGTCTGGCCCAAAAACCTTGAACAATGCTCATATAATATTCACATAACATAGGCAGACATATAAACACAGTATAACACTACTTCATACTTTCACTTCACTACATTTATTGTACTTTTTACTGCATTACATTTATTTGAGGACTTTAGTTAATTTTCCGAATCAGAACAATTAAACAAAATAAAAAACTGTATTGATCCTTGGTGGTAAATTCCAAAACTACCCAGCACCAGTTCAGGTATATAATGTAGTTAAAATTAGATTCCCATTTACCAGCTGCAACATTAAATATGATGTACACAACACTGCATCAATAATTATAATTCAATAATATATAGGTCTGGCAGATTTTTGATGGTAATACTTTTGTATTTGCAGTTAAGTAACATTTTGAATGAATCTGACTGCTTCTTCATCACCGATGGTACAGCAGTGAGAACTGTCAACTTTCATCTGTCCACATGGTGTCGCTGTTGGCCTGTGTGGAGGAGGTCCTGTTTTTTAACATTGCACTGTGCAACACACACAAGTGAAACATGCTTTCGTTGGTCTTTTCCGAAAAGACCTTTATTAAAGTAGGACTTAGATTATGTTAAAATTGTGCTACTTTAAAGCAAAGTGGGTTTTAGTCCTCACTGTTGCAGACACAGGGACTTTCCGTTATAAGAATATAAATAGTTTCGGTTTCACTCTTAGCACAGTCGCGGCTCGATCGACGTCTGAGCAGGCTGCTGGCTGGGTGCTATTAAAGTGTCAGTTTTAGTTTGCTGTGGATATTACAGAAGTCTTTCCAAGGTCTGAGACAACTATCAAACATCTGCCACTGCAAACCTGCTTCCTGTTGGAAACGTAAGTTGGATTTCAACACTAGTTAAACAGTGATATTAGCTAAACTTAGCTAGCCAACGTTATTGTACTTAATGTATGCTAGCATAGATACGTAATACTGATAGCAATAATACTGTAATGTTGAGCGTTTCGCTGAATCTTTCGTGTGTGGCTTTGGGGTAAGTTTACTGGCACGCCGTTTCAAAGAAATCAGTCGTGCAGGTGAAAATGAAAGTAAACCAGTATCTGCAGCAAACAGTAAACTGTCACCATTATCAGTGAAGGGCATTTAAGGCCAACTATGACGTTAAGTCTAACGTTGCTTATGTAGCTACAAAGGGATAAACAGGTCACTATCAGCAGCGGAAGAAGTACACCTAGTGTTTACTTTTATTGTGAAAGTCCTGCATTCAGATGTTACTTAAGTAAATGTGCAAAATATCAGCATCAAAATATAGACAACTTAAAGTACCACTAGTAAAAATACTCATAATGTAGAATGGCACCTTTCATATTAATGTATATTGCATTGTTGGATTATAATTATTTATGTTATTATTGATAGTGTAGATCACTTTCATGTTGAAGCTGGTAAGGTGGAACTTAATGGGTAGCTTGTGAATTTCCCACAGAGGATCAATAAAGGCTTATGATTATACTGTTTTGTGTTATTAATCTGATTCTGAAAAGTAACTAAAGCTATCAAATACATGTGGTGCTGTAAAAAGTACAATATTTGCCTCTAAAATGTAACGAAGTATGAAGCTGCAGAAAATGAAAATACTCCAGTAAAGTATGAACACCTCAAAATTATATTTAAGTACTTGAGTAAATGTACTTAATGCTTTCCACCTCTGATGCAAACTACATGTTTTTGCCTACATGTATTTACAAACATCGTAGTCCCACAACTAAAACCTGGCCTGTGTGTTTATATGGATACCCAGCCACTGACCCTCCCTGTCTCTTGCATTTGCCTGTACAGTATGCAGAAAATGAGCTACTTCTTCCCTCTGCTCTTCATCTGCCTGGATGTGTGTTTGGTGCACTCCATCCGCCTGGCCCAGTTCTCACCTCACCTCCTCTCCCATCCGTTCATCACCCTGTGGGGAGGAGGGCTGGTCCGGGCCTGCCTCCTCATGCTCGTCACCAAGACATATCCTGGAAGCTTGCCGTGGATGAGCAGCTTCGAGGGGCTCCAGAGCTTAGGGGTGCTTTGCTTCCACTTCCCTGTGTACACCACTCTTCTCTGGGCACTGGGACAGTCCACCATGGAGGAAGTCTTGGGGTGGCACTCCTGGGAAAAGGTGGGTTGTGCTGGTTCTTATGCTGCTGTGTTTGAAAACGTTGTGTATGTGGTCGTATGGGTAACTCAGCCAGAATAAAACTTGTATAAATGTATTCAATACGTGATTAATCTGCTGCTTTACAAGTTAATGTCATGTGTTTCTACTGTAGTTCCACCTGTTTAATTTCATTAAGCGAAAATGTGAACATATTATAAACCAAAGCAGATTAGTTCATCAGTATTAAGACACTGCAGCTTTTTTCCATAAAATTTTTTAAAACAATTGATTCAATTTAATGTTCACATGAATTCTTTCAATGAAGATACTGACCCTGGAACAAGAATGAAACCAAAACCAAACCAGTCAGGAGATTATGAGAGACCCACCATTTCATAAATGTTGTTTACTCCAGACATAACTGTATGAACCAGTGTTTTGGAAACAGGAAAGCTATTAGTTAATTTACTGTGTTTTCTAGTTGTCTTAACATTTGTCTGAGTCTTCTGAAGCAGTAAGTGACTTAGGTTTTTTTTTCCTGGGTTTGTGTATTAAACCTGCCATTTGTTTTGCAGGTGCTACAGGGTTATGTTGTGACAGTAGTGGCCTGGATCTACTGGAGTCGATACGTGTCATCCCTTTTACTCTCCTTCAGTGGATACATCTCGTCTCGGTTCACCAAGATGCCCTCTGAGAAGCCCAAAGAGGGCACTGATGCCAATCTGAAGAGACTGATGGAATTCATGCGGCCCCATTTGTGGCGTTTTGTTGCTGTGCTTATTCTTGTGGTTCTCTCTTCTTATGGTAAGTAAGTCTACATCTTAATTTGAATGAAGTGTATATGTAGTCGTTCATTTATATCTAGTGCTGTCATGCAACTATAAGGTTTGATGTAGTCACAGGCTGAAGATCTTGCTGTGTTGTCAGCAGCTTCACACATAGAGAAAGCGTTTTTCTACACTAGAAATCAGTGCTGTGATAATGTAATCTTCTGACCTCAGGTGAGATGGCTGTTCCTCAGTACACTGGTCGTGTGGCTGACTGGATCATAAACGAAGAAGCACCTGATGCATTCTCAGAGGCCATCACAGCCATGACCCTAATGACTGTAGCGAGGTAACCTTTGTATTTTTGAAGAACCTGAATTTCTTCAGCTGTGGGTGTTAATCTCACTTCAAATCTTTTTACCCTATTTAACATAAACTTATTTCACTTATAGGTTCCTGGTTTTCAGATTTTACACTGAATGCTATTTTCTCAGAGAATTTCATTTTATGTAGATAACACAAAAGTTACCCATCTCTTTCATGTCAAAATTAAAAGTAGAATTGTCTTGACATGTTTATACTTTATGTGCGAATGTGTCCTCTGTTGTATGGCCCAGTGCTGTGCTGGAGTTTGTGTGCGACCTCATATACAACATCACCATGAGCCTCATACACACCTCAGTGCAGGGACTCGTCTTCCAGGCTGTGCTGAAACAAGAGATTGCGTTCTTTGATGGCAGTACAACAGGTAAACCATCTACACCCAACCCAACACAAACTTATCTTTAAATGGAAGCTTTAGAATTCAGAAGTGTAGAGGATTTTTACAATATGTTGACCATGCACTATTCTAATTCTCAGGTGAACTAGTGTCCCGCATCACCACAGACACCAACAGCATGAGCGAGGCTCTGAGTGAGAAACTAAGTCTTGTGATGTGGTACACAGCGCGTTTTGCCTTCCTTTTGTACTTCATGGTGAGCCAATCGTGGAAAATGACCCTGCTCACTTGTATGGGGCTGCCCATCATCTGGGTCATACCTAAGCTCACTGGACACTTCCACCAGGTAAAATATTTTTTCAAGGAAAAATCTTCCACAAATCCATTCCATTCCATGGAATGGATTTGTGGAAGATTGTGGGAGTCCTTAGTGGTTCCACAGTCCCGATCTAAGAAATGGGGTGACCGTGCATTTGCTGTTTATGGCTCCAGACACTGGAACTCACTACCGCTTGAGATTAGGTCTATTACTGAGTTAGCGGTTTTTAAATCCACATTAAAAACACACCTTTTTAAACAGGGTTTTGCTCTTTAATTTGTTTTATCTGTTTAAACGGAATTGTGTACATGTTGTTCTATGTTTTTTAACTGTTTAATATTGGTTGATTGTTGATTATTGCTTTAGTCTATAGATATGTATTTACTGTGCAGCACTTTGGGCCCATTCTGAGTTGTAAAGTGCTATATAAATGATGCTTTATTATTATTAATATTATTATTATTATTATTATTATTATTATGGTGGCTGAGGTCAGACAGCTGTGCTTAAATATGTGGCTCCAACACCTTGCGAGCACAGAAAGCATTCCTGTCATCAGTTTAAGTCATGGAGTTAACGTTAGTTAGCAACAACTGATATGTCCTTTCTGTTTTACCTGGAAACTGTGACGATTTAAATCATAATGCCGGATCAACATTGTGATGTCTGTCAGCAGTGGGTGATGCACGATGGCTTTGTCCATCAACCCAACCCTAGTGGTTATAATCTTTTAAAGTAATGCATCAAATTGTCACAATAAAACTTTGTCTATTTTGTTTTTGTTCTTGTTTCAGGCCATTGCTGTAAAGGTTCAGGAGTCGCTGGCTAAAGCCAACCAGGTGGCCACAGAGACTTTCTCCAGCATTAAGACAGTGAGGAGTTTTGCCAACGAGGATGGTGAGACAGAGAGGTACAAAAAGCAGCTAGACGACACTTACACCCTTAACGAAAAGGAAGCAGCAGCATATGCAGCCTCTACCTGGGCCAACAGCGTGAGTTGAATAACGACCTGTTTTCAGTTGTTTGCAATCGTTTTGTAGCTTGTCTTTGTAAGTATGAGACAGTGGGAGTTAACCTAGAGACTACAGCAAAATATGCAAGTAGTGTCACCTAGAGGTTGCTGACAGGGTATTTCAGAATATTTTTACCATTTTCCAATGTCTTGTCATTTGTTTCCAGCCACAAAATGACATTGAAATACATGTATAAAATAAAATAGCTGGAAATGTTTAAAGATTTGGAGCCTAGGTGGAGCTGAGGTCAGATGACCACTATTTTGTAGCTGAACAGATACATCAGTCGAGGCAAACTGAACCACAAACATATGCCTGCTTAGGCCTTAATTTCCCGCAAAGTGAGCACACGAGAAGACTGAAACCATGTGTGATCCCAAGACTTGGGATTTACATATTCACTGAAGTGAAATCAATTTTGAATATTTTTAATAGTGTTTCTTTGTTGTGAATAAACCATAATCCATTGCTTATGTTCTTCAGATGACCACTTTGGCCCTGAAGGTGTGTATTTTGTACTATGGTGGGACTCTTGTGACCAGGGGCACTGTTAGCAGTGGAGACCTGGTGTCATTTGTCCTTTATGAGCTACAGTTTACCTCTGCTGTCGAGGTGAGCCACAGGACAAGAAACAGCTATTTGTTTTGATCAGTGTCCCACAGTCATATATCAATAAGTAATCAAACTTCACTACCACTTCTCCTCTAGGCTGTCATGCGTTATTATCCAGAGGTGAAGAAGGCAATCGGTGCCTCTGAGAAGATATTTGAGTATTTAGACCGGAAACCTCAAGTACCTCCAGATGGCACTTTGGCCCCTAAAAATCTCAGGGGACACATTCAGTTCAAAGATGTCACATTTTCCTATTCTGGCAGTACAGATGAAAACAGTGTTGTGCTTAAGGTATGTATGTTTATCTGCTGTTCATTTTTTATATCTACAATTTAAATTATTTTATTTCCACATGATCCTGAAACAATTTGATATGTCTTCCACCAGAATGTTTCTCTGGAGGTAAAGCCAGGCCAAATCACTGCCCTTGTGGGGCTAAACAGATCAGGGAAGTCCACCTGTGTCAAGCTGTTGGAGAGGTTTTACCAGCCCTGCTCAGGGAAGATCCTGCTGGATGGGGAACCTCTGACGAGCTACAAAGACCAATACCTGCATGACAAGGTGAGTAGCCACAAGACAGTTTTTTTCCATTTTGCATTTGACTGCAGTAACAGGAAGCTTAAAGGTAACTTTTAACCACAAGTAACACTGTAGAACAATATGCTTTGTGAGTGGGTCCCAGTTTTGTTTGCACTGCGGACGTACAGTACATACTACACATCCCTGCCACTAGTTTCCTGCTGTTCTGCTGAATGAATCTAGAAGCATAAAAACACATCCACATAGGAAGCTAAAAAGAACATCACAAGGTAGCAATCATGGATATAACAATTACACAGTTGTGAATATTTAAAAAAAATGGCTTTGCAAATGTTTCATGAGTAAGGAAATAGTTTTAGAACATTTGTAAGACCTCAGAGTTATGCATTTTGTGAGAAACACAATGAAATGAAATGAATTGTTTGGTTACAAAATGGGCATTAAGTCATTTTTGGCAAATTTTTCAGTGACAAGGTCACAGAAAAGGTCTACTTCAGCTGTTAATCTGTTGTTCTAATGCAAATATAGTTTTGCATTTCTTGACCTCAGAAATTAAAAGAAATTTTCATCATAAAGAACAGCATATATTAAATTTAAATATATCACCACGATAGAGGCTTAAAAAAAGCTCCTTTTCAGAAAACTTCCACAATAAAGGAGCTTTATAGTCTTTCATGACCTTTCCTCTGTGATGCTGGGGTAGTTTGCAGGACTACTGTCAACCCTGATGATCAAGAATCTGAGCTGTTCTGCTCTTTTATTTGGACATAACGATGAAAAAGACATGATAAACTACAGCCAGTGTCTGAGGTACTGACACCTTAAGGGGTTTACTAATTCATTATACCACAAACATTGTTTAAAAATCTAGATGGCAGATATGTAATTGAATTCTACAGCTTAGACCATAAAACAGAAATAAAAAGTAGCCCCAAGCTGCTGAGTGCTGAAGATATAGGGAAGGTGAATTATAGCTCGTTTAAAGTTTTTACTGAGATTCTTTCAAATGCCTATTTAATTTCACTTCTTTCATCCAACACTTTAGTTTGTATTATCACACATTGGCCACAGAAAGGGCACTTGATTGCACTTTTTGCCTGGCTTTATTCTGCGGTTGCCCTCGTAGTAAACCATTCTTAGAATCAGCTGGTGTTTGCTCTTCACCCTGTTTGTATATAGATTGCTGTGGTGAGCCAGGATTGTGTGCTGTTTGCTCGTTCTGTGCGGGACAACATCAAGTATGGCTACGAGGATGCCTCTGATGAGGAGATGTACAGGGCCGCCCGGCTGGCTAGTGCCCACGGGTTTATCGAGCAGCTGTCAAATGGATACAACACAGGTATGACCCACAGCTTCATTATTTAGTACAGTGAAAGTGGAGACCGTCACAAGGGCTCTTGTTACTCCCTGGGAAAATCTTGAATTATTTTCAATTCAACTTTAATTCTTAGATGGTTGCAGAATGATAGAATGAATGTATATCATTTTTTAGAAGTGGGAACACTGTTTTTTAATGAAGTCACTAATTCCTTCAGGCGTTCTGACCAGGGTATGTGCAGCTTTTGAAAAGCACTGGATTTAGTTTCCTCAAAGAAAACCTAGTATGTATTGAAATGTTCCAAATATACAGTAATCTACAAAAGGCTTGCATAGTTTCTCTTGCCTGCCATATCCAGTTATGCTAGGTCTAAACTATATCTGTGTCTGAATGCTGTCGGGACACATCACACACTTACTGAAAAAAGAATGGTTGCACACTCAGAGCAATTTTTGTGGACTTTGAGTCAGTACCATAAGACCTGTAACAAACGCTGTCACTGTTGCTTTCTACAGTAGCTAGGAAGCTCATCTTTTTATAACGGATACATTTTTACACATTAGAAACCTAATGATTATATCATTACAAATTACTGTTACATGCTGCTGGAAAGTATTGGAAAAAATGTGATGCTATAGTAAATAATTCTGGGCCATGCTGTGTAGTCCATAGAGGTTTTCCATTATATATCACTTTTGCTGATAGGATCATGAAAGTTATTAAATTGCAGGTCCCTGAGTTTAATTAAATGCTCTTGGAACCGGCAACACTTTGACCAAGTGGTCTTGCCTAATGCAAAATAAACCTTCCAAGGATGTACATGAAAACAGTAACAGTATGTCCGTCTGTTGCATAGACGCTGGGGAGAAGGGAGGCCAGGTGTCTGGAGGCCAGAAGCAACGTATTGCTATTGCTAGAGCTTTCATCAGGCGTCCTAAAATCCTGATACTGGACAATGCCACCAGTGACTTGGACACAGAGAACGAATACCAGGTGGGAAATTCTTGAGTCTCTCGGCTGTTTTTTTTTTTTTTTTACTTTAACCATGTTTTCTTCATTTAACACTAAGTTTGTACCCAACAGGTCCTCCAAGCTTTGTTGAACCATACCAACAACTGCTCGGTGCTGCTGATATCCACTAAGATGAGTATTGCAGAGAAGGCCAATCATATAATTGTCCTCAACAACGGGATGGTCGAGGAAGAAGGCAGTCATGATGAGCTGATGAAGAAAGGTGGCCTTTATGCTGACCTTGTGGAAAAGCAGAATAGGGGCTTTCACCGTCAAGAAGAGGAGAGGAATGATACACAGTGATAGATGTGGGCAGAGGTTGAGTTGAGTTACAGGAAGGCTACTGGTTTAAAGTCCAGACTTAATAGGATAAAACTTAAGCCACACTTGTTGCATAAAGAGCACCTTAATTGTGAGACGGCACTTTATACCACATGTATAGAGTTTTGACCCTTTAAGATTGTTTCCCTTCTTCTTGTACCTCAGAAGTAGGTGAAGGTATAGCAGAAATCCCTACTCTAGAATTCAAGAATACTGACGGGGAAAAATATAGATACCCTTTAGTCAGCAGCCCCTGAGCTAGCCCCAGACACTCCATACCATACCATACCAACTTTATTTATAAAGCACTAAAAAACAACCAGAGTGGACCAAAGTGCTGTACATTGCAATAAAACAGTAGAAATTATAAACCACAAACAATATAAAATATAATCAATCAGATGACTAAAATCAACACAAAAATATCAAAATGCCAGGGAAAATAAACGAGTTTTTAAAAGAGACTTAAAAACAGACAGGGTAGAGGCTTGTCTAATGGCTTGTCTGCAAGTAGGGCTTGTCTCTCTGGAGACAAGCCCTACTTGCAGGGTGAGGTCAGCCTGATGGTGCTTGATTAGCACTGTCACCTAACAGCAAGAAGGTTGGGTTTGAACCTGCTGGAGCCTTTCTGTGTGGATTTCACATGTTCCCCCTGTTCCTGCACGAGTTTTCCCTGGATACTCCGGCTTCCTCCCTCAGTTCAAAGACATGCGGTTTAGTTAAACTGGTGACCCTAAATTGCCTGCAGGTGTGAATGTGTTTGAGTGGTTGTCTGTCTCTGTGGGTCAGCTCCATGCTAGATTGGCGACCCATCCAGGATTGACTGGTCTTTCTCCCTGTGTCAGCTGGGGTTGGCTCCAGCCCCCTGTGCCCCTTTATGGATAAGAAGGCATAGCTATTTGATGGATTGACTGGGTGATATGAATAAAATCCTTGAATTTATACTGCAATATCAATATATCATAATATAGTCGATGTTCTTACACCAACTCAGTCAAGAATCTGTTTATGGATAAGCAATTTCTGTCTAATCCAGCAATTACATATATGATGAAAAAAAAATCACAGTTCAGTTCAATATTGCCACAGCCCTGCTCATCGACTTTCAGCATTGCTCACAACCAGAGATACAGTATGAATGATAGAGCAAAATCTCACAGGGTGGACACATTTAAATTGTCCAATGGTGTATCATCATATAGCCCAAGCCTATGTCGACATGGTGTGCGTGGGGATGATTTTAAATGGATGGACTACATTTATATAGTGCTTTTAGCCAAAACACTTTACACTTTCCTTCTTATTCACACACCCACTCACTCATTGGGAGTTCAGTTTCTTGCTCATAGGACACTGGACAGCAGGAGATGAGAATTGAACTGCCAACTTAAGTCAGTGCAAAATAACCCTTGTAGAGTTTAGATATTCCATGTTACAGTATTTAAAATGTAATGTATCTAAATGTCATGGTGGTATATATTTTTCACATTTCTTTAATGTTTCACTTTTTCTGTACTGTTTCTAGTGTTGATTCTTTTTTTTTTTTGTAAATGTTTTATCTGTTGGTATTGTGTTAATCTCCACAGATTTATAGAATGAAGGTTTTCTTGTCTGACTCTTTTTGATTTTTGGCTTTACATGAGCAAAGCATTTAGCCTGGGCTGTGAAAAAACACTTTTGAGCTACTTTATGTTGCAATGTTTTTTAAGCCTGAGCCATTTCTAACTAAAACTCAGGATCTCAGCCTCTGCTGTTTCAATTTTTACCATTAAAAACTGTATATTGTGAATCCTCCAACTACATGGTGGCGTGCACCAGGTTGTGACTATACTTAGGGCATATTTCACTATTTTCTGACATTGTTTACAATGAACAACAGGCTATTAAAGAAAATAACTAAACTTATTCATAAGGAATGCAGTATAATTCCTGGTTGCATCTGTACAGTTAAACTATGATGAAATAATACTACCTTGTTTGAGGTTTTCTGTGTGTTAATAACCCCACCAACACACCACTGATTGCCCACACGCATAAAAGTAATTGTCGGTCTTATAATGTCAATAAAACTATTAACAGTTGCCAAGACACAATCCAAAGGAGTTTTATAAGGCAGTAACCCAGATACTGCAGATAACACAAAAACACAAACACATCATAACCATTCCCTGCAGGAAATCCGTTCTAAGCTCGCATTTGTAAATTCTTTGAAGCCAAAACATAAAAACTGAAGCAAATTAGCACAACGCCTGCTCCCATCTTTTGCCAGAGTCTGACCGTAGGAGGACATGATGTACAAAGCTGACATTGATGGGCATGTTCTTTGTTTGACAGACGTCTGCTCACAGCCAATCCCCATTCAGAACCAGCCCAAACGTGACAGGAAGTACGCAGATCTGCCGCGTGGTTGGTTTATATACGTTCAAACGGAAATGTTACAGCGCCATTTCATTGCGGAGTTCTTTGGTGGTGTTTCTGTGGAAGCGCAGTGCAAACATAGGTGGAACATTTGGATGTCAATAATACCCTGCCTTAAGCCCGATGGAAGCGGCCGTCAATCCGACTCACGACAGGTAATGTTCGCGGTATTTTTGGTGACATCGAGGAGGCTTGGTCGACTTTGCCGTACACATGACGGTGCACTAACGTTAAATATCTTATTTGCGGTTAGCTTCCCGGTAGCAGGGCTAACCTTAGCTTCTCTTAAGACAGACTGGGTTAGCTAGTTTTTAGTCGGTCTCAACATGAATAATGTCAACTAAATTGTGTGTGACTTTGTAGACTTTCTACGTGAAGGCCTTTATACCTTTGGCTTCGCAAATAAGCAGGCATGCGGAATGCAAATGACAGCTGCAGCTCTACGGGCCAGTTCAGCTGCTCCCACCGGCTTACTATCAGTCCGGTCATTCATTTTTCGGGCATTCTGTTAAAGCCAATTTCGCAGCTCATTTGACTGTTACATAACACACCTCGCAATAAATACCGTGTCCAGTATGCATCTATACACAGCAGTTAGTAACGGTCCTCAGTTAATGATTAACGTTAGGCATTGTTGTAGTTTAGGGTAGCACTCAGCTTAGCTTCCACGTTTTGGGCTAACTAGCTGTAGGCAGCTGTATGTGGAAAAATCACTGGAATCGACTGACAGGACAATATTTGTGACCGTTCGTGAAGCAGCACAGTGAAGCAAACGCTTTGCATTTTTGCTTTTTTTGACAGAATCGCCGACCGTCATTTCGTTTCTGTCATTGTGAGGCAATGTTTACAAACAGTGAGGGCGGGGCGTCCGCTCCACGCGATCACCAGCTGTTGGGGTTGTAAATCCAAGAGTCTGGTTTTTCTTTCATCGTTTTGTTTAATGATAAAGATGGTGAGGCTCTACGTGTGAGTACTGACGCTTTTGAAAAGAAGTATAAGGTGATTCAGTGCATTTTAAACCGCAAACCCTGTTGGATATTTTGTCCCAAAGTTTATCAAAGCTATGAAATATGAACTCATCATATTGACTATTTGACATTTTTTGCCATAAAAATGACTAAGATGATTATGATATCAGGGAAGTTGGCGCGTAATTTTGTGACATTGGTTGTTGGAAGTCTGCATATTTATCACTCAAATGTGCAAAGAAAAGGTTATTTAAGTAAAACCTATTCTGTAGAAAATGCAAAGCTTTTCTTTTTAAACTGATATTTGTCACTCATGATGGTTGTTTTGTCTTTATGTTCCACAAGAACATACACATTGTGTTTAGTCAGTACTTTGTTGCACATAATTAGTTTGTTTGCTTTAGTTTTTGCTATAGATCCATAATTATCACAGTCAAGTTTCAGGGCATTCACAAAATATTTAAGTCACCTCAACCAATTAATTTACAATCACATGGCTTGATAAATAACTTACAAAGCTAAAGTAAATGTGCCCAAATGAGTCAGGTTTTTCTTAACAATGTGGTTAAGCTGTGCAGTCAGCTCACAGGCTTTGCTGCAGTTTGTATGTCAGTGGAGCATGTGTGCACCCTGAACTCTGGGGTGAGATTTAATTTATGCTCCGGTTTATGCTTGGATGGATGAAAAAAGGGGTGATGGTAACAACATGGACTGAGAGACCTCTGTTTAAATATTTTTTATGTCTTGGGTTATGTAGCCTCACTGGACTGCAGCCTAGACTGAAGATCATGGAACTTGTGGAGCATTTTGAGCACAGTTGTCTATTTTTTTCTGTCATTTAACTTCATTAATTCTTGTTGGGAAATGTGTTCAACCAATTCTTTGTAGTAGATATAAGTGTAGTGGGCCAACTGGAGCTCTTACATCTACAGTGCCTCAGTCAAGGGTGTTGGCAGGAGTATTCATAACTGTGACATCTCTGCTTTGCTTTGACTGAAATATTGAATCTGAAACACAAAAACATTTCAGACATGGTTTATATATTGTTCCTTCACTGTGAACTTTAGTTTTGTTTTGGTAGCATAACAGCCAATTTTTCAGCATTATTGGAGTTTAGTACAAAATGCAATAAATAAAAACGTTTTTAAAAAGGCAAATTATCAGTTTTTTTAGGAAAGTGATTGCAAATTTGACTATTAAAACATCTCTGAGCATGGAGAGTAAAGTGGTGCAAAGGTGATTAGTTAGTGCTTTATTTTAAATATGTGATGGAACTAATTATCAATTAAGCAATTGGTTAAATTCTCATTTAACTGCTAGTACTCTAAAATATTAAAACATTGAAAACTGTCCATCAAAATTTCCTAAAACCCATGGTTAAGTCATCGACCCAAACATTTGATTGATCATTTACATTTTTATATTTAAGAACCTGTAACTCTAAACTGTTTGACATTTTCTTCTTGAGGAAATTAAAATTAATTGATTATCAGTATACTAATACTTAGTTTGGATTAATCCTGTGTGGGTTGTTGCAGGTTTATCATGAGAAAGTTAAAGTTTCAGTTTAATTTCAAGTGATAGGCATGCAATCCATGCCAAGTCTTTTTCCCCATGATTCATTTACAAAATTTGTTTTCTGCATTTATGTGCAGCTAAATCTGACAAATAAATCATATGCCACAGAAACATATATAACACATCACATAATATAGCACATTATTATTAAAATGTAGTTTTTTTTTAACTGGTGAGGGCACATTTGGTGGCAATTCCCATGCCTGTGCTAAAAGTAGCAGCCTGTTGATAGAATCCTGTTTGCCTTGATGGCATTTTGTTAACTGGGAGAGCAGAGCCATAGTTTCACTGGCCATATATGTTCATGCATGAAGCATGTATAGCAGGGATGGGCAAACTTTTTGACTCGCTGGCCACAATAGGTCAGGAGTAGAAGGATGGAGTGTTTGTGTGAACTAATATAAATGACATGTAAAAGCTATTGTATGAAAGGTTTTGGCCTTCAACAGGTAGAAAAGCATGAATATGCAAGGCTTATTATACATATTATTCTCCAAATGCATTCTCTATGCAACAGTAGAGAAATAAACCTTTAGTTTCAGTGGGAAGAGTGTTGTTGGTCTTCCTTTTTAGCCAGTGCATCAAAGTCTGGAGTTAGTTTTGCTGTGGCTACTCTCAGGATAGATCTGAGGTGTTGGTCAGTTAACATGGATCTGTGACTGACTTTGTTGATGTTCAGCTCCAAACAACGCCAGCATCTTCTGTGGCGTCCTCTGAAGGTTGAGAAACCTGGCTTCGTTAAGTAAAGCATAAAAGTCATTCAGTTTAAGAGAGTTGCACTCCTTTAAAATGGAGTCAGACTGAAGATCGATTAGTTCCAATTGCAGCTCCTGTGGTGCTGTTTCAGGGTCTTGTGACAGGGGACAGGACACCAGCTGAAGTTGAGTGTCATTTTTTCCAAAATCAGAGAACCGACGGCAGAATTCTCCGTGTAGGTCGTCCAGTGATTTCCTGTATTTTTTCACATGTCGAGGGGCCTCTTTCAGCCAATGTGAGGAAATGAGCGAAACACTTATTTGACATTTGCTTTGAGAATAAAGTCAGCTTGGTTTTGAAGGCTCTGACATTTGTGAACATTTCGTGCACAAACTGATCTTTCCCTTGTAGCTTCACGTTCAGCTCATTCATATGTGTCAGTATGTCCCCAGCAAAAGCTAAATCACAAAGCCAATCTGTGTTACTCAGCTCAGTAAAATCATCGGATTTCCCCATTAACCCCCAAAATGCGCCAATCTCCTCTTTGAGCTCTAACACTCGCTGAAACACTTTGCCCAAACTTAACCAGCGGACATAAGAGTGGTAAAGTAAGTCCTGGTGATCCGCATCAGTTTCCTGCAGGAACGCAATGAACTGACGGTGCTGAAGTCCCCTTGCTTGTATAAAGTTAACAAGTCTTACGACTGGATTCATGACATGATTAAGCTGCAGTACAGACTTACACAGAGATTCCTGATGAATGATGCAGTGATCTACCATCTACTGGGGAAAACTGTTAAATTGGACTGTTTTAAATCCTGAAGGCTCATATTAGGAAATGAAGGAAGTAAAAACTGTCACGGATTTGTCCTAAATTACAAATAGTTTAAATGTATGGAATAACATTCCTTCTTAACACATATGTATAGGCAGACTTTCCATGCATTTGTTGACATGATTGGATTGCAGATCTGTGAATTGAGGGTTGCATCAATAAAGGTGGCAATACAACACCACAGTGAACTTAAAAGTACCATTTCCTTGACTAGCAAGTGGTACGTTCTCTCGGAGTGTAGACCTTGTGTTTCTTTGTGGTCCCACACAAAAATGGGTTCGCTGTTTTCCTTTTTATTAATCTTTTCTCAAGTAATGTACTGTTGTTTGTATTTCCATTCTCACCAGTTTTACTGTAAGGTTACAGTTTGTTTGAGTGCAGAGTTCTAATGTTATCATTCCAAAAAAGAAAAAAAAAAAACTTGTCATGCTAAAGCTACAGTATGTAACTTAAGGTAGCATTAGCATGACATTACAAATCAGTTTACTCTTCTCAGCGCTCCCTCTCCCTGTTTCACTATGATCTGCTAAAGTCAGCCATGGTCTTCAGATATTTGTCATAATGAAATTACAATAAGTGAGATTGCAACAAAACTTACTGATCAAGCAGAAAGAAATGAAAATGTATGATTGGTTAGAGAGGTCAGTCCTACTCAAAACCTTTTAGAAGCTAATATTTCTGCACTGCTGCCAATGCTGTTCACTGAGTCTGGGTCACTGGAGGCTTCGACAGCTCCTCTCCACATTAGGACAAGTTTTGGAGCATATTTCTACAACAAAACTATTTGAAAAAAGTTACATACTATACTTCAGTCTTTCCCATCTCTTTCTGTCTCCCTCACTGTAGCTCTCTGGTCGGGTTGTCCAGTGGCGGGATGGACCAACACACCAGCTCTGGCAAACGCATTCGCAAACCTTCCCTGCTGTACGAGGACTTTGAGAGCCCCTCTCTTCCACACACAATGCCCCAGGGGCCCCCCGCCCCACCTCAGCCCCCAGTGAGGGATCCCAGTCGGCTGGGCCGCATGACTAACCAGCTGCAGTACCTCCAGAGGACCCTGAAGAAGTGTCTGTGGAGGCACCACTTTGCATGGCCTTTCCATGAACCTGTGGATGCCTACAAGCTTAACCTACCAGTGGGTTAAATGCTGATGCTTTAACAAAGAGACTTTTCACCTTCTAATTTGATTTTGATGAGTTCTGTTTGTGGTTCTGCAATTTGTGTCAATGCCCAGGCTCAAATGTTGAGGGAAGGATCCCCATTTGGTTCATTCATTCACCTACAGTATATTTTGGGAATGTTCAGTTTGGCTAGCTGATTGATACCTCTGTAAATTGTCATTTGTGTCTCAGTTTTCTGTCTTTTAAGATCATGTTGGAACAGAAGTGTTCACACTTTAACATGTTATCCTTTGGATTGGTGTGTTTTTTGTAAATCAACTAAAAGCAGCTGATTCTTTCTGCTTTTTTTAGGATTATCATGAAATTATCAAACAGCCCATGGACATGGGGACCATCAAAAAACGTCTGGAGAACAACTTCTACCACAGTGCAAGTGAGTGCATACAGGACTTCAACACAATGTTCACCAACTGCTACTTCTACAACAAGGTAGGTTGAAAGGCAAAAAAGCTGATCTTTCTGCATCCTGTTTTGTTTTTCCTTTTTAAAAAACTCACTCTTGCCTAATAAAATACAACTGCTGTCATGAGACTGCATTTAATATCAGGTGGACCTTAGTCACAGCATGAATTATCAATGGTTATATAAAGCTAAAGGATACTGCAGCAGCACAGGAAGCTGCTATGTGTACCTTGAAAATACAACAACTGTCTGCAGCTTTCCAGTGAGCCAGTTTAGGAGGGAAGGTGAACGTGGACATGCTTACAATAAGAATATTTTTCTCCATTTCCCACGAGGAAAAGTTCATCTAACAGAAACATGATATTCTACTATCCTATGTAATAACAACATGTGCTGACCTGCATATATGGTACATGTGCTTCAGTTTAACTGGAGGCAAGTGGGGAAATTAAAACATTGGAATGAGTACAAAACAAATGACTACAACATGCAGGCAGCTGTTAGAAAATATTTTTTGCAAATTGAACATCAGCTGTTCTTGCTTTTTCTTCTTTTGATGGTGTGTTTGTAAAAGCATCTAAGTGGTACTTGCTGAGAATCCATTTTTAGTGTTCGGCTCTTTTCATCACATTTTGTCCTTTGATCACATTTTTTAAAATCATTTATTTAAACTATAACATGTCAGAAATAATGCCAAATCCCAGCACATGTTGCAAACAGTTGTGAATTTGCATCCAGCAAATATTTGGTGTTTGTACTTAAAAACTGAAATAATAATGGTCTGGCCTTTTCATCATTTGGCACATGAAAAATAACAACACTCATAAAACAAGCAACCTGAACTACAGTAATGGATATATTGAAATATAAATGTTTAAGAACAGTATTGTTTTAACTTTATCTTATCAAATATCTTTATAAATGGCTTCCTCAATTAGCCAACAGATGACGTTGTGCTGATGGCCCAGTCCTTAGAGAAGGTCTTTCTTCAGAAGCTGGCCCAGATGCCACAGGATGAAGTTGAGCTTCCTGCTCCAGCACCTCGAAGCAAAAACAGGGGGAGGGGTCGCAAATCTAATGGTGAGTTTTAGCCCGTTTTAGACAGAGATCCCGGTGTATTGCCATTAAGTTTACTGTCATGCTTACTTATTAAATCAAGCAGAGCCAGCAGAATGCCCCCCTATTGTTCTCCTTTAGAAAGCTGCAGCATCCCAGTGGCAGAAGTGTGATGTCCACGGTGACAGAAATGTGAAGCATACTGGTTGAACTAAGTATCAGTGTGCATTTGCTAGTCTTGCACATTTACAACATGAATCAGAATCAGCTTTATTGGCCAGAGGTGTTGAACACACAAGGAATTTTATGGTATAATGGCTCTCAATCTGCATGTACAACATTCTTCCATAAGCCAAAAAGTAAACAAGATAAGACTGAGACAAGAAAAAGGAACATGCATTAGGAAAATAAAAATACTTATAAAATACAGTAAAACTTTGGATTGCAAGTAACCTGGTCTGTGAGTGTTTTGCAAGACAAGCAAAGATTTTTTTTTTTTTGTAAATTTTAACTCGATAAACGAGGGAGGTCTTTCAGTACGAGTAGTACGTACGCTTTGTCTGACGGGCGTCACGTCACAACTGAGCTGATGGTTCTTGTGCCTCACTCATATAGTCAACATCTGTACTACAACAATGGCGCCGATGAAGAAAAAATAAAGGTTGAAAAGAAAAGCAGTAAGAAAAAGGAGGTGATTACGGTGGAAGTTAAAAAGGATAATGTGGAGCAAGTGGATAACATCAAGTTCCTGGGCATCCACATCTCATCTGACCTGACCTAGTCTCTGAATACATCCTACCTGGTCTCTGAACACATCCTACGTGGTGAAGAAAGCCCAGCAAAGGCTTTTCTTCCTCAGGAAGCTGAAATGCACTGGTCTCTCAGTTGCTCGCAAACTTCTACAGAGCGACAGTAGAGAGCATCCTCTGTCTCAGTGCGACAGTGTGGTACGGGAGCTGCACTGCACAGGACAGAAAGGACTTGACCCCGGTGGTGAGAACAGCTCAGAGCATCGTAGGGAGTCCTCTTCTGGATCTGGACTCACTATACACTGACTGGATCCAAAGGAGGGCCGGACAGATTGCTGCAGACCCCACCCACCCAGGCAACAGTCTGTTTGTGCCTCTTCCCTCCAGGAAAAGGTACAGGAATATAAAGACAGTCAAACAGACTGAGACACAGCTTCTTCCCCAGAGCTGTGAAATCAATCACCCCCCCTAATCCCTAGTCACACACACAACCTTCCTCCTATGGACAGACACAGAACACTGGACCCCACACCTCCTCCTAAAGACTGAGATTTGCACTGAGCTGCACTTTATAATGTTACTACACTCTTGCTGTAACATGCTGCTGACCTGATTAGGTCCCATACATCTTTTTTTATTTGTTCATATTTTTATATTAACTTATACAATTGTGTGTTATGTAAATCATATGTCTGTCTTTTAAGCCAAGAGCTGCTGGAAAAAATTTCGTTGTGCTTTGCATAATGACAATAAAGATTCTTGACTTGACTTGACTTGATGGAAATCATCGAAGTATGAATGAGGTATATGAGTGGCCGATGTCGCAAGATTTTATAAGGGAGATGTGTAAAATGTGGGAAATGGTGCAAAATTTTGTGGAAAAGCACCACCTGAATAAGGCTGTAGCAGTGCAAACAATAAATCTGTTTAACGACAATGCAATGCCACATTTCCACCAAATCCTTAAAAGGAGACAAAAGCAAGTGTCATTGGATAGCTTCCTTGTTAAAGTAGCACAAAAAGAAAAAGATTTTAGCAAGCCAACAGATGGAGAGAGGAGCTATCTGCTGTCTCCCTCATGCCAGCCATGATTCTTTTCTAAGGTAAAGTGCAGGTTAATTTTTTATTTTTTCTTTATACTGTATTATGTATTACTGTAATCATTTTATATGAATAAGTGGTTGTGGAATGAATGATCTGAGTTTCCACTGTTTCTTATGGGGAAATTCGCTTTGATGTACGAGTGCTTTGGATTACGAGCACGTTGCCGGAACGAATTATACTCGCAATCCAAGGTTTTACTGTATGTGTATTGGACTCAAGCAAAATCCACGTTACCAAATGTATGTGGATTCGTGTGACCAGCGTGTTCATGTGATAAGACATACGGTGGAGGAGAAACAACCTCACTGGTGAGTGGCTTCACCCCAAGCCAGCTCTCCACCAACATCAAGCTGGCACAGACACAGCAATTTTACTACCTCTATTGCAGGAATAGTGCAGGGTCAACAATAACACCCCCATTCTGGGTTTGTACCATTATGTAAAGAGCTTCTTTTGATTCAGTTTAGTGCTTCAGTTTGTTACGACTATGCAAACTAGATATCTATTCAGTCTCATAACATCTGGTATTGGTATTTTAATTTAATTTAATTACAGGCCAGCAATTAAAAAAAAACTGTATTTCTCTTGCAGAAAAGTAACCAAGTTGAATATCTCTCTCTGTTTCTCAGCATCAAGGGCTCAACAGGTGCCAGCAGTGTCACAGTCAGCCTACTCCCCCACTTCCTCTGACACTGGGGAGTCCATGTTGGCCAGCTCTCCTCAGACTGTGCTGACCAAAAACCTTCCACCAACCAACATCATGGGCCTGCCTCCTACACAACCCACAACTAAGGTACATTAAAAAAAACACGGTACTGATGATGACATTCAGCACAATTTATGCAGAGATTTCTGAAGTGGCTGTTAGAGCTGGATATTGATGCTAATCTACTGGTTTGATTTAGGTTCAGATTCCATTCTGCTCATAATGTTCATTTCATTCTGATACTTGATAATTCAGTTACATAAATACCAATATTGCATGAAGTGCTTCTCAGAATGTATCCTGTTAACTCAAACACTATTCGATGAGTGAACTACACTGTTACTTCCTTGATTTACAACTGTATACAGTGCACATTATCACTTCATTTGCAAACACATTACCCAGTTATAGCTGTGCATAAAATGTGAAAAAGGTACAAGTCCTGGCCTCCACTTTAATGATCGGTTTGAGCACAGACGGGATAAGCTGAAAGTCTGCTCTCCAATTTATCTGCACTGTTTTTGCTGACAACACATCAGCCTGATAACTGCAGAAACTGTTAGCTAGCGTTAGCTCCCTCATGGGTACAGGCTGAATGAAGTAGAATCCACAAATGGTTCACTTGACCTTCAAGGTCTCACATCTCAGAACTAGAAATTCTCTTCAACAAATGAGCTGTTTGTGCATAACTATTTCAGCAAAGGTGACATTATACACATCATGTGCTCCTACCTGTACCATTTACAATAAGTAGCCACTGCAAACATGAAAGATGTACAGGTCGATCATAGGATTTTTAGAATTGACACTTGACCACTCATCAAAAATCACAATCAAATTTTTTTTCCAGCCCTAGTGGTTAATGATAAAGGTTTTAGCATATACAGGTAGTATAAAAACTGGAATGTTGCAAGATTAAAAGGCACAAGCCAAAGAAATTTGAGCATCTTATGGAAAGAAACCTGGCAAAATATTTGTTTTCATTGTTTGTGTTTTAAGACAGTTTGTGTTGAATTGCAAGTTTGTGATCATAGTGACTTCCAACCTTTTTCTCCCCACAGAAGAAAGGTGTAAAGCGCAAAGCAGACACCACCACCCCTTCCACCATGGGCTTGACTGTAGGCATGTCAGGGGTAACACACATGGTGGGCTTGGGGAAAGGAGGACATGGAGGTCAAGTCCATGATACCTCCATGCACACTATCTCCATGGGAAACATGAGCTTAGATACGCCCCCTGGGATGGGCCTTGTCAGGAGCCCTGGAGGTCCTGTTCTCCTTCAACCCATGATGGCTGGCACTGGTCGCAGAGTGGGCAGCGGACGCCCCATTAAACCCCCCAAAAAGGACTTGCCTGATTCTGTCCAGCCTCAGCCCTCAAGGAAGGGCAAACTGAGCCCTCAGCTAAGATACTGCAGTGGGCTGCTGAAGGACATGCTATCAAAGAAACATGCAGCATATGCTTGGCCTTTCTACAAACCTGTGGACGCAGCTGCACTGGAACTTCATGACTATCACGATATCATCAAGTGTCCCATGGACCTCAGCACCATTAAGGTGACTTCTGTTATACTTCTAACTCTTGGAAAGAGAAATAGTCGATGAATATTACACCTAGTGTACTACTGATTGCATAGTAAAGTATTTTCTTTAAGTATAACATGGTGTGATGACAAACATAGATGCTGATGCCGGGGCTGAAAGTCTGTATACTGTAAAATGCAAGTCATTAAATTTACAAAATATAAGTTAAGGTAGTACTCTCTGCCCCATCCAGCACACCCTCTCCCTGCTCCACTGTGCTCTACTACAATCTGCTACACTCAGCCACGCTCTGCTCAGCTCTAAGATATTTGTCTTTACAAGAAAATGCAGTAAAACTGATCAAGCAGAAATAATTAAAAATCTCTGATTCGTCAGAGAGGTCAATCCTGCTCAAAACCTTTTAGAAGCTCATATTTCTGCACTGCTGCCAGTGCTGTTCACTGAGTCTGGGTCACAGGCAGCTTCAGCAGCACCTCTCTGCTTTAAGACAAGTTTTGCAGCAGATTTCTACAACAAAAATATTTGGGGAAAAAGTTGCATGCTGTAGCTTTAATTATTAAGAAATATTTTAACAAAATAGATTTTCATCCATCCATCCATCCATCCATTTTCTTCCGCTTATCCGGGGCCGGGTCGCGGGGGCAGCAGTCTAAGCAAAGATGCCCAGACCTCCCTCTCTCCAGACACTTCCTCCAGCTCCTCCGGGGGAATGCTGAGGCGTTCCCAGGCCAGCCAAGAGACATAGTCCCTCCAGCGTGTCCTGGGTCTTCCCTGGGGCCTCCTCTCAGTGGGACATGCCTGAAACACCTCCCTAGGAAGGCGCCCAGGAGGCATCCGAAACAGATGCCCGAGCCACCTCAGCTGGTTCCTCTCAATGTGGAGGAGCAGCGGTTCTACACTGAGCTCCTCCCAGGTGACTGAGCTCCTCACCCTATCACTAAGGGTGCGCCTGGCCACCCTGCGGAGAAAGCTCATTTCAGCCGCCTATATCCGGGATCTTGCCCTTTCGGTCATGACCCAAAGTTCATGACCATAGGTGAG